CTAAGGCATCGTACCGGCTAGCTCCCCCTGAGATGTTGGAGTTTTCTACACAGCTGCAGGAGCTGCTAGACAAGGGTTTTATTCGGCTGAGTAGTTCACCTTGGGGGAGCGCCGATCCTGTTTGTGAAGAAGAAGGATGGGTCGCACCGTATGTGTAAAGACTACCGGGAGTTGAATAAGGTAACGGTGAAGAACTGTTACCCCCTCCCGAGGATAGATGATTTGTTTGATCAGCTTTAGGGGGCGTCATGGTTCTCCAAGATCGATTTACGCTCCGGATATCACCAGATGCGAGTCAGAGGCGAAGATATGAAGAAGACTGCTTTCAGGACCCGTTATGGTCATTTCGAGTTCATGGTGATGCATTTTGGGCTCACTAATGCTCCAGCCGCGTTCATGGATCTCATGAATTGCATATGCAGACCGATGTTGGATCAGTCCGTGATAGTATTCATAGATGATATCTTGGTATATTACAAGCCTCAGGAGCAGCAAGAGGAGCACCTGAGGGAGGTGCTAGAAGTTTTGAGAAGAGAGAGACTTTTCGCAAAGTTCTCCAAGTGCGAGTTCTGGTTACGTGAGGTGCAGTTCCTATGTCACCTCATCAACCAAAAGGGTATCTTAGTAGACCCGGCCAAGATAGAGGCCGTGATGCAGTGGGAGGTCCCGAAGTCTCCATCCGAGATTCGGAGCTTCCTAGGTTTGGCAGGGTATTACAGAAGATTCATTCAGGATTTCTCCAAGATAGCAGTACTGCTCACCCGACTGACCAAGAAGTCAGTGGTGTTTCGTTGGGGGCCTGAGGAGCAGACAACGTTTGAGACCCTCAGGCAGAGGTTGTGCGAGGCTCCGATCCTTACCCTACCAGAGGGAATAGAGGAGTTTTGTAGTCTACTGTGATGCCTCAATCACAGGTATGGGGGCAGTATTGATGCAGCGAGTGCATGTGATAGCTTACGCCTCGAGACAGTTGAAGCCTCACGAGGCTAACTATCCTACCCACGATTTAGAGCTGGGGGCGGTGGTGTTTGCCCTCAAGATTTGGAGACATTACCTTTATGGGGTTCGTTGTACCATCTACACAGATCACAAGAGTTTGAGATATCTTATGGATCAGCCGAGTTTAAATATGAGGCAGAGGAGGTGGTTGGATGTGCTGAAGGATTATGATTGTGAAATCCTTTACCATCCAAGGAAGGCCAACATAGTGGCCGACGCCCTAAGCCGCAAGATGATAGCAACCCCTATCAGAGACTTATGTCTGAGGATGACAGTGATTACTCCGTTGTTGGAACGGATCAGGGAGGCTCAGGTCGAGGGCCTCAAGGAGGAAAGATAGAAGTGCGAGAGGATAGTGGGCCGAGTAGTTTCGTTTGATTATGATAGTCAAGGGTTGTTGACCCTTCATGGGAGAGTGTGGGTACCGTACGGGGGTGGGGTACGGAAGGTATTGATGGACGAGGCTCATAAGTCTCGATTTTCTATCCACCCAGGGGCGACGAAGATGTATAGAGATCTTCGAACCGACAACTGGTGGCCCTGCATGAAGCGGGATGTCGCCTGGTATGTAGAGAGGTGCCTGACCTGCAGGAAGTTCAAGGCAGAACACCAAAGGCCTCACGGCAAGATGCAGCCGTTAGACATTCCCATGTGGAAATGGGAGGACATCACCATGGATTTTATCACCAAGCTTCCCAGGACCGCACGTAGGGTAGATTCGATTTGGGTAGTAGTGGATCGGTTGACGAAGAGTGCTCATTTCATACCGATCCAAGAGAGCATATCAGCGGAGAAGTTAGCCGATATCTATGTACAGGAGGTAGTTGCACGTCATGGAGTGTCGGTATCGGTGGTGTCAGACCGAGATGTCCGTTTTACATCCAGATTCTGGAAGCGGTTTCACGACGAGATGGGTACTCGTCTCCACTCCAGCACTGCTTTCCACCCTCAGACGGACGGGAAGAGCGAGAGGACGATTCAGACTCTCGAAGACATGCTCCGGGCATGTGTCCTAGACTTCGGTGGCAGTTGGGATACGTATCTTCCGTTAGCGGAATTTTCATATAACAACAGTTATCATGCGAGCATTGATCGACCTCCCTTTAAGATGATTTATGGGAGGAAGTGCAGGACCCCAATTTGTTGGGGCGAGGTCGGTCAGCGAGTCATTGGGAGCACGTAGGTGGTGCTCAAGACGACCAAGTTGATTCAGCAGGTTCGTAGTAGACTGCAGACTGCGCAGAGTCGACAGAAGAGCTACGCCGACAGGAGGCGTTCAGACTTGGAGTTCCGGGTAGGCGACATGGTCCTTCTGAAGGTCTCACCTTGGAAGGGTGTCATCAGGTTTCAGAAGAGGGGCAAGCTGGGCCCCAGGTTCATTGGTCCTTTCAGGGTTTTGGCCCGGGTGGGTCGGGTTACTTATCGGTTGGATCTTTTGGAAGAGCTTAGCCAAATCCACAACACTTTCCATGTGTCTCAATTGAGGAAGTGTTTGGTGGATGAGTCAGCAGTTGTTCCCTTAGAAGATATTTAGGTTGATAGCAGCCTGAATTATATTGAGAGGCCGATAGCGATTCTGGACCGGAAGTCAAAGACCTTGAGGAATAAGGTAATTCAGCTAGTGAAGGTGCAGTGGGAGCACCGGAAGGGATCTAAGTGGACGTGGGAGGCTGAGGATGAGATGAGAGAGCACTACCCATAGTTATTTGCAGATTCAGCCATAGCAGACTTCGAGGACGAAGTCTGAGTAATGTGGGGGAGAATTGTAACAACCCGTCTCTGGTATGTTGTTTCCATGTTATTTATTTAGAAGTTTCAAGAGGGACTCGGCGAGTCTATTGCCAGACTCGTCGAGTAGAGACGGGATCTTGAGCAGCGTATAGATCGGCGACTCGACGAGTCCATATTTAGGACTCGGCGAGTCCGCCTGCCAGGTAGAAACCCTAAATCCCCGGGTTTGCACCCTATTTAAACCATCTTATGAGTCCCAAACTCGTCTCCTTCACCCTCAGAGCATCATTTAGCAAACCCTAACCATTCCCTTGAGTATTTGAGCATTTCTTGTGTGAATCTTGAAGTTTTGAAGAGGAGAAGGAGGCTAGATCCAAGGGAGTAGAAGAAGATCCAAGATCTTGCACCACTAGAGAGCTTATTGAGGTAATAATCGGATTTACTTCTGTTTCTATGATTGATTCTCCATTATAAGCACATTTAGTCCATTTTATCCATTTCTTAGCTTGTTTATAGTAGAGAGATCACATTGGGTAGATTAGCCTTCGGATCTAGCCATGTTTCAGTTCCAAAAACGTAGATCTATCACCTTTATGGAGTCATTTTGCATAAGTGCCTTTTCAACATTTAAATCCCTTTTCATGCGTATGTACACGTAAAGTTTCAAGCCTTAGAAACTCAGATCTATAAATTGTATGCAGTGGTTTTGAGCAGAATCGAGTTTTTAGTAATTGCATGCATGCGACTCGGCAAGTCGAGTCGCGAGTCCCCGATCTTTCCCTTTTGAGTGATTCTGAGTGGGGACTAGTGAGTAGTAGAATGGACTCAGTGAGTCGGAGGTTAGACTCAGTAATGGAGGGACTCAACGAGTTGTTCATACAACTCGGCGAGTCTAAGGCAATCTTCATAGATTCAAGAACAACTCGTTGAGTTGTTCATACAACTCGGCGAGTTGGATGCAGATAGCCTGAGTTCTAGAATCGAAAGGGAACTCGTCGAGTTTGTGCCATACTCGACGATTAGCAGCGAACAGGGTTGAGAAGTGAGAGTAGGAACTCGGCGAGTTGGCGGCCCAACTCAGCGAGTCAGGTCAACTGTAAGTTGACTTTGACCAGGAGAGTTGACTTTAGCTAGGGGTAAAAGAGTCATTTTACCCCAATGCAGTTATTAGTATTTAATTGAGTGTAATTTCGGAATTGTAGCCGGGGAGATACCGGAGCAGCAACAGATAGCTTCCAGAGCCATACACTCAGCAGCCAGATCACGAGGTGAGTTTCCTTCCAGTAGGAACGGGTCTAAGGCCACAATACCGGCCCGTTTAGCTAGTAGTAGTTTCCGGACTTCGGTCCGATGCAGATTTTAGTATGTTTGATGCCTTCGTGGCTCAGACAGGATTTATGTGTTATGTGTTCCGGGTTACAGCCCGATGCAGTATGCAGTTTATGTGTTCATGCTAGTTAATATGTTTATGCTATGCTATGTTCAGTAGTTCTGGACTTCGGTCCGATGTAGTTAGTTCTGGACTTCGGTTTGATGCAGTTAGTTCCGGATTTCGGTCCAATGTAGGAGGCAAGGCCTCAGTAGTTCCGGACTTTGGTCCGATGCAGAGGGCAAGGCCCTGGTTAGTTTCGGACTTCAGTCCGATGCAGTTTCCGAACTTCGGTCCGATGCAGTGGGCAAGGCCCAGTATGTGTTTATATGTATTGTATGGTATGTGGTAGTTTGGGGGAGCTCACTAAGCTTCGTGTTTACAGTTTCAGATTTGGTTTCAGGTACTTCCGCAAGCAAAGGGAAGAGCTCGGGTTGATGGCATCACACACACCACAACTTCAGTAGTCCTGGGAGTTGTCTTTAGTTTTTCATAGATGTGATTTGATATAGTCTTGATACAGTTTACTCATAACACTTAGCTATTGTTTTTGAGATATTGACGTACGAGTTTTACCTTATGACATTACCATGGTGTTTTTAGTAATTATTAAACAAAAATTTTTGGGTCGTATTTAGGGATGTTTCATTCCTACCCCCCAACACAACACATCACAAAAGAACACAAACATGAAAACCAATAACAATTCTTCTACTTTCTCTTTTTCTTTCTCTTTCTCACTCACTACTTGTTTTTACTCCACCATCTCCTTCACATATCCATAGACACACCATTAGTACACCTGCAACTTACTTTACATTAGGGAGGTAAAGCCTAATAATATATTTGTTTGTGACCTTCCGCCTACATGTTGGACATTTAGACTGAGCTTTAATTGCAGCCTTGATACACGCCTTGCATAAAATATGACTATATTTTTCTATCACCTCCTAACAAAAGTCAATATTTGACCATAAAATAAAAAAAATGCCATCAGAAAGTTTTACATGAAGCATAAAGATTATACAACTTATAAGAAAATAAATTTTCTGTCCATCTGTGAAATTTTAACAATTATTAAGCTTTGTGGGACATGAGATTATTATAGGATGTTTTGTGACCATTTAGTAGTATTGTTGGTGTTCATACCTTCAAAGCTGTCCAACAAATTATTTATAGTAAAAAAAATACATGGTTAGTTTGTTTCAGCTATGAGTAAATATAATATCATCAGCCAATATATATATATATATATATATATATATATATATATATATATATATATATATAAAAGTTCAATAGAGAATCATAAGTATTGGTTCTTCAAGGAACCAAATCTTTTTTTCAATTTCTCGAGCTTATTCTTTATCAAAAAAAAAAATCTAAAAATATTTAAATTCATATACTAACATTGTGAATGTGAAAAGTATTTTTCGGATTTACCGTTTGAATCTGGATTCACGTTGTGAATTTTCAAAAATTCACATTGTGAATTTAACATAAAAAAATCGAATTTGATACCATTGGAAAAATGATAAAAAATTATGATTTTTTTTTTTGATAAAAAATAAGTTTTAAAAGTTGAAAAAAAGATTAGTTCATTGGTTAATTATGGTTCTTTATTGAACCTATATATATATATATATATATATATATATATATATATATATATATATATATATATATATATATATATATATATATATATAGGCTTAGGTTATTCTATTCTAACTAATTATTGTACGGATATCGTATACTATGAGAACTACTACGAGAATAAGTTGTTCAGAAATGCAAATACGTTCAATCTTACATAACTATTGTCATTAACACACATTCTTACTAATTAAATCGTCTATAATGTTATTATATACTTATTATTATTATTCTGATTTCTATCAGAATGGTTATTGGGTCGTATTTAGTCAGAATGAAAATGAGTGAAAAACGATGTGTGAGAACAAAAATAAATAATAATTAGCGAGAATGCATGAAAATGATAATATTTTTGTAAGGTTGAACGTATTCGCATTGCTAAACAACTTATTCTCTTAGTAATTCTCATAGCATACATATCCGCAAAATAATTAGTTAAAATACTTGAAGGTAGTTCTCTCTCTCTCTCTCTCTCTCTCTCTCTATATATATATATATATATATATATATATATATATATATATATATATATATATATATATATATATATATATATATATATATATATATATTGTAAAAAATCATATATCAAGAAAGTCACCTGAGCATGAGAACTGAATTTTCAAAATTCTCATAATCTCTCCAATGTTGTTCAATGTGATGAGTAGGAGTGTCGATAGGTTTTTCGTATACTTTTCTTACATCAATCAACCTTTCTAATGGTGCACAATCTGTAGTCAAAATGAAATATTACTTCTTAATTCAAGTGTAAAATACTATAATACAACAAACTGAAAGCAGACAACTAAAAAAAGTTGAAAATACTAAAGACACAATTTCTAAAATCAAGAGGTCGTTTCTTACATCTATCTTTTCTGATAAATAAATAGAATTGCACTTTTCAAAAACAATTTAAAAAGAATTGTACTTTTAAAATGAAATTATTAGAATTTTTTTATCATTCATGGAAAACGTATTTTCTGGAATTTAACATGACAAATAATATTGATTTTTTTTCATAAATTCTTTGATGCTTGTGAATTTCACTCTTTTCAGATGTATGAAGATGGCAGACCTTAGACAAAAACATATAGAATTCAAAATATTACAGATCAAGAAGCGTGTAAAAGTCATAAACATATAAAACTTAGAACATTATAAAAAAAATTAAAAAAAAAACCAACCCTGTTAACGAAGGCTCAAATGTTCACAAGCGAACTCACAACTTCCCTTCATTTTGCACACAGCTTTACAACCTAGTTAGAATAATACCATGAATAATAAATATATAGAACCTTGTATAACTTATAATTTATATCCTCAATAATAAATAAACAAAACACTATCATCTTTAAACCGGTGGCACTTATCTTTTTTGTAAGTTGGTGTACAACAACATTGCATGAAGCACATAAAAGAGCCTAATTTAAGTTAAATTACCATTATGCCATTATTCCATCATGGTCATTTCATCATGTGATGACATAAGCAATATCTATGTGAAAAACATGCAAGAAACGTGTACATGCCCTTGACCTTGTTTAGCCCTTTGATAAACAACTACAACAGAAGTGACGATCTTACCCTTCCTGATTGCCTTTGAATGAAACTTATTGGCCTTTGAATGAACTACATCAAAATTTATATATTCTGAGAATTAAGATTAAGTGAAAGTGTGAAACATCAAATGGGTTTCTACCAATCTCTTATAAAATTTATCAATGGAGTAGTAGTCAAGATTCAAGAGATGGTAGTTTGTGTTTGGCTCAAGGAGTTCCGGTTTTGTGAAAGACCCACCAACTCTTCTCCGAGAAATAACACTCTGTCTCTGCAAGTGTTAATAGTTAAGGGAAGAACACAATAGCAAATCAAAAAACAGAAGTCATCATAGGAAGAAACGAAAATAGGGTTCAATTCATTTACCTTAACCGATTCCAGAACTTCAATCAACCAATCTCTGTAGACATCCTTTGTAGGTTTCGATGATGTCGTTGGATGAAATCGAGGTGGGTATTTGAAAAAAAGGCAAACCATCTCTTTCAAAGTGGTGATGGCTGGTGGAACCCTTAATCACAATTCCATAACAAATTAAAACCCAAAAGAAAAAAAAAGAAAAAGTAGAAGAAAAAAAAACTGATACTATGGTTCTATCATTCTTGAAGATTCACACATCAAATCAAATTCATATTCATGTATAGCATTCCATGAAAAACGGTCGAAATCGGTAAAGAATTTATTGAGTTCATGCTGAATCGGTTCGTTTTTTTTTACCATATCCATTCAATTCATAAGTTGCCACAACCGCTCTACAAAAAGAAGCTGGGGCACGAAGCATAGACCTGCGGTTGTAGATTTTTTCCTCTGTGTCTAATATGATCGCTGCTAGGGTTAACAGACGGGAGTGGTGGCTTCTTCGGCGGTTGTTGAGACTTTTTCGATAGAAACATCCACCGTGTAGCAATCCATCGACCAACAAGGAACCAATTTCCCGTTTGGTGGAAATCCTAAATTGCAACGTCACAGAGGCCAAAATCGGTAGATGATGGCAGTGTAGGGGATGAAAGAGCGATGTTTATGCGACGGTCACTTTGCAAGCCCAAAAAATGAGTGACAATTCTCAGAAGAAATGGAACATTGCGGAGGAAAATGGAGTCGAAGATTGAGAAGAGGGAGTGAGAAGAAAGCAGTGAAAACAATCGATCTAGTGACCGTTAGTGAGTCGGTGGAGACCTTCGAGACGATGGATGCATAAATATAACACGTGGCCAACACTGCTAACACTTAGGCAACATTATCAGTGATACGTTTAAAAATAAAATAAATAAATAAATAAATGCCAGATTATTTAAAAGGAAAAATAAAAAAAAAATTTGACCAAGCACAACGATTTACTGTTCGTAAACGAACACAAGGAATTAATATTATCAAGAATAAGAATAATAATAATAATAATAACTGTTGCGGGCTTAGATGTGATTTTTTTTTGTTTAAATCGTTAAAGATATAAAGAGACATTTAAAAGAAAAGTTTTAAAAAAAACAAAAAAAAAATTTATGTTTTTTGATCTCCCTAACATGCAGTTTCTTCACAAAATATCATTTAGAATTATATTCCATTTTCTGAAGCATAATTAAAACTATAATTTTTTTATATCATAAAACTTCAATGATACATAGTCAAGACCCAAATACAATAGGTTGATGGGAAAGTCTTTCTACTATCACCTACATTATATGTAATTTATCAAACATATGAGATTGAATTCTTATACTTCCTGTAATCATATTGAAACACATCAAAAAAAAAAAAAAATTAATCTCAGATCTAATTATATGCATCAATAAAGATTTATTTTTCTTACATTATTGATAGGCTGTTGTTGTTTCTCTCTAACTATATTCAAATACTCAAACCAAAGTATCCATAATTCCCTGAATTTGGTAACTTATCCAATTTGTGAAATATAATCTAGACTTTACCGAACATTTATCCAAACAAACGTAAAGCATTAAAGTTGTCAGAAATGTAGTATGTTTCCAAACCTACCCATTCATAAAAATTAAAATAAAGCCTCCTTCAATAGGAAATCAGATTACCTCATTCAATCCAAATATAGATTGTGCGAGCCTTTACAAAAGACATGCTTTTTTAATCAAAATGTAAAATAATTACAATCTGGAAATGTGAAAATAAGTATGTACATAAATGGTCCTTGTTGTAGCAAATTATTATACAAACGGTAACCGTAACATTTTACATTTTCCTAAATGGTCCCCATGACTGTAAATCGTTCTAAAAAAGGTCCTTGTGCCAATAAATTGATACAAAAATGGCCTTTGTTATACTTAACTATTACAGAATTGGTTTTTGAAATAGTAAATTGTAACAGGATCATGTATGTAAGAATTTAATATCATAAGGACCTTTTTTAACATTTAACTGTCACGGGAACAATTTATGTAACTGTTTGCTACAACGGATATGTAATTTAAAAATACATGTTTTTTTTCATATTTTCTATAGACAGTAAAAAAATGAATTAAAACAAAATGAGCATGTAATTCTTCTGCATGGGGTAAGTTGTCTTGATTTGCAGCCTACGTGTGTGTAGTTGCATTTACCACAAATAATATCTCTTCTACCTTCACAATCTGTCATCCAACCAACATTGGATAAATTAGAAAGTTAAAAACCCATCACAAAAAACATATAAAACCAACAATTATGTCATGATCTTTGGGTAATTTATCACATGAGCATTTGTTCTATTACAAATGGAATAGCTTTCTATGTGATCATGCTTTACTTTTGTTGATCCAAATTCTTATACAATATCTAAAACTTTCGAACATATCTAGAATCTGAATCGAAATTACATATGTTATTCAAAAATACAAAAGATAAATAATCAAAGAAGTGAAAACAATCAACCTAGTGACCGTCAGTGAATCGATGGAGACCTTCGAGACGATGAATGCATATATTAACACGTAGGCAACATTGATCAGTGACACATTTAAAAAAATATAAAAAAAATGCCAGATTATTTAAAAGGAAAAATAAAAAAGAAAATTTGTCCAATGGCGACAATTTACTGTTCGTAAAGGAACACAAGGAATTAATAATAATAATAATAATAATAATTTAAATTATAAATTATTATTATTATTATTATTATTATTATTATTATTATTATTATTATTATTATTATTATTATTACAATTTGTCTCTAAAACTATTTTTTAATTGGGGGTTCTCATAATTTCCTATGTTATTATTATTATTATTATTATTATTATATTACTTTTTTTTTGTTGGACGGTAATATTTGTTTTTATTGTACATGTTCATTTAGAAAGTTAGGAAAGGACAATTTTATCTTTATTTTTATATTCTATAACCTTTTTAAATTATTTATCTTTTGTTTATACAGTAGACCCCACCTATATGTAATTATGTTTTAAGGTTTCAAATTGAACCATATTTGATTAATTAAAATTTTTTAGTTCAGATCTGATTTAGTTGTATCTAATTCTTCATCTGACCCAATAAAATACATAAACTGAGGTTTTAATTATTATATTAAATAGTATGAACAACCCTATATATAAATATTATAATTCTATCAATTACTCTATAAATAAAAACCAGCATCAGGTTTGAATTACATACAAGTGAAAGAAACCATGGAACTTCTTTTGCTGGTTATATCTTCCTTAATTTTCTTATTCTTCCTCCATGGTCTCGACATCTACCGTAGAAGAAGACTACCTCCAGGTCCTGTGGGGCTCCCCATCATCGGAAACCTTCTTGATATTGGACCCAAACCCCATGTATCCCTAGCCAAACTCTCCAACAAATATGGTCCACTCATGACAATCCGGTTGGGAAGTATAACCAGCGTGGTGGCGTCTACACCCGCCGCCGCCAAAGAAATCCTCCAACGCAATGACGAGGCCTGCTCCGGCCGTGTTGTCTCAGACGCCGTCACCGGCATCCAAAACCATGACTCAGCGATCCTATGGATCTCCGCAAACGACGAGTGGCGAACCATACGGAAAGCCCTCAACACTTACCTCATCCACCAAAACAAACTAGACACCCTCCAAGACCTTCGCCAGAACGTGGTTGACGGGATGATGAAGTATCTGCGAGAGTCCGGTGAGAAGAAGGTGGTCGTAGATATCGGAAAGTTGGCATTCGCAGCGGCGCTCAACATGATGTCGAACACAATCCTTTCGCAAGACGTGACCAACTATGAGTCCGATGATATTGGGGGGTTCAAGACGGCGGTGAAGACATTGATGGAGGTGGATGGGAAGTTTAACATAGCAGACATATTTCCGGTGTTGAAACGGTTGGATCCGCAGAACATAAGGCGTCAAGCGAAGGTTGCTCATGATTGGTTCGCTAAATTGACAGGGTGTTATATAAGTGAGAGGTTAAAGCATCGAATGTCGAACCTCGGGAGGTATGGTGATATGTTGGATTCGCTGTTGAATTTCAGTGAAGATGATGAAGCCAATTTCAGTCTCGTACACGTCAGGACCTTGCTTGTGGTATCCTTCTCTTCTCTGTTTTATTATCAACGTGAAAAGTTAAAACATAAATGATAAACCGAAACCAAATGATTTTTTTCAAAATTTATCTAACTTTTTTAGAAGTTAAAGGTAAGTTGTAACCTTGTTTAACATATTCTTTTATGAAGCAAATGATTTATTTACCCGTTAGAAAGTTACAAAGTTACAAAGTTTGAGTTCTATTATTATTACTAGGTGAGAGACACATGTATTACATGCGTTTAGTTAAAAAAATAAAAATAAAATTTTAACAATTTGAAAAATTAAATTTATAAGAAAAATAAGAAAAATTTGAATTATTAAAATTAATGAGAATTTAATGTATTGAATACATTACATATATAAACTTTTTCTAATAAATACTTTATATATACAAGTTCAGGTTCATTTGAGACCATTCTAATTTTGTGAGACCGTGAGATCAAATCTAAAAATAATTTTAAAATGCAAAATAAATGGAAAAGTCCAAAAATTCTTTTTTTAAATATTATTTTCGGAACTTGAATTAACTAAAAAAAATATAAAAAAAAATAAAAAAATTCCGTTTTTTTTTTTGAAAAATACGTGAAACATTCTAAATAGAATATTACACTGACATATTCTAAAAAATAATTTTAAAATGCAAAATAAATGGAAAAATCTAAAAATTCTTTTTTTAAGTATTATTTTCGGAACTTGAATTAACTAAAAAAAATTAAAAAAAAATTTTATTTTTTTGAAAAATACGTGAAATATTCTAAATAAAATACTACATTGTACATATTCTAAAAATAATTTTAAAATGCAAAATAAATGGAAAGATCAAAAAAATTCTTTTTTTAAATATTATTTTCGGAACATGAACTAACTAAAAAAATAAAAAAAAAATAAAAAAAATAAAAAAATGCGTCTGACGGTCTCACAAAATATAAGCGGTCTCAAATGAACCTAACCCTATATATATATATATATATATATATATATATATATATATATATATATATATATATATATATATAATATATATATATATTACCTTACACATTACATATGAAATTTTAATTTAATAAAATGAAAAATACAATAAAATGACAAGTGAAAAATAGAAAATTTAAAAATTCTAGAAAATATCATGTATCAAAATGAATGAGAATATGACATAACAAAAAACCTTCATTTATTATAGATTATTATTATTATTATTATTATTATTATTATTAAAAACTATTTTTCATGTCAACGGTACTTTATGATTTTTTTTGTTGTACTAATAGTCTCGAAGCTAGATATGGTTAGTAATTTGATTTTGGATAAAATGACAATTCTTTTGTTTATCAATATATTCTATAACCTTTATAAATTATTTATCTTTTGATTTTAATATAGAGCCCACCTCTATGTTATTTGTTCCTTATTTCTTTTTAATTCGATCAATGTTGTTTTTGAAAAGAAAAAAAAAATTGTCTTCAACGTCCTCAAGTTGTTGACAAACAAAAAGTTATATAAAAAATTATGTTGTGTTTAGTGTGTCGAAGATAGTTTATATTTCGATTTTTTATAAATTGTTAAATTTAATAAGCTAAAAAGTAATTTATAATCTAGTTTGTACGGTAGTTTTTTAAAAAGCTACTTATACTAGCTTTTAAGGAAATTGTTTAAAAATTTTCAAATATACTTTTTAATTAAATATAGAAACACATTCTTTTAAATGTCATTTTATATCTTTCAGGTATCTTTTCAACTAGTTTATAAAACGTAATGTTTTTTATCAGCTAGCTTTCTAGCTACCGGCTAACTTTTTAGCTACCGATTAACTTTTTATTTAAAAACTAGTTTTTTACTTAACAACTAGTTTTTTAGTTAATAGATAGTTTTTCAGTTAGTACGCAAAATATAGTGTTAATGTAATTTGATTATTTATTCCCAGATATTATATCATAACTTTTGGTTTAGGTATAAATTGTGTGTTGAATATGTTCCTAACTTTGTTTTATAAAATCCTCAATATGTTTTTTTTTTCTTAAATAGTTAAATAAATTTCATGATGGGTCTATGTGCTTTGAAAAAAATTATCACATTAAAAAAACTATAAATACACTACAAAATAGTTCAAATGATTTCAATTTTTTATATAGTTGGTATGTGATGCATATAAATTAACTTTTTTACTCTTTTATTATGTTGTATTTTTTTAATCATATATTATATTAATATTATAATATACAAAGGCCTATTATACCCTTATCTCACCCCACCTACCCTTTTTGTATACTTCATGTTTTGAGGTGATGATGTAGGAAGGTTGTGATGGTTCACCCAAAATCAATCTTCATCTTCATCTTATAATCCATGAAATCTACAAAATAATATTTATCTTCATCTTGTTCATTGTAAACACAAAACCATTACATGAAGTCATCAACATCTCACCATACACAAGAATATCTTCTTTTTACATAATAATTCAATTTGTCCGGTAGGTATATAAATTTGGAAAACATATACAAAAGTTGGATTTTAGCCTAGTAAGCATGTAATATGCTTTATGTGTTTGACAAACATAAATATTTACAATTTCAAAGCATTAGGACATAGAGATTGAAACATACAAATAGAGAGTTCAAAATCTCCTTGATTTTAGGCTTTATCATCTGAAAACACCATGGAGAATTGAATGTCCTAAATCAGTATCCATCAAAATCATCTTGAACATTGATTTCATATTTATTAGAACTTAAATCAGTTCCACCACATTTAGATAAATGAGGCTTTAGGGGTAGTGTTGCCTTACCTAAACTTAGATTAGTGATCGACGACCTCTAACTTAGAGCATTAACAACTCACTTGAATTGACCTTTAAGTTCGAATTCAAGAAGTGACAACAATCGATGATTTCGATATAAATAAGAGTCATGGAAACCTTTGAAAGGATCCTACCTTGGGGAATCCTTAGTATGGGAAGAAACCCTCTTAGGGTAGAGGTGGTGAAGATGTAGATCACCATAATGGTTTTAGGTGCCGGAGAGGAGATGAAGATGATAATAAGGAGGCATCGATCTATAAAACAAAGGGGAAAAGGGTTCATTTGGGTAGGATTTATTAACAAAACTTTAATAAAAATAAACAAATTCTTAATAAAAAATATTACAATAAATAGTGTAGCTATAAAATAGCAATTTTAGATCAAATCTATAATAAAACAAAATCTAACGGAGTGACCAGACAACAGGTTGAAACCATTGGACCATTGTGTAGCATTTTTTATACTTATCGTCAATGTAATGTCTTTTACAAAATGTACGGACCAATTGTGAAATTTTGTTTCTATTATTTTACAAGTTTTTTTTTTTTTTTTTTTTTTTTTTTTTTTTTTTTACATTCTAAACTTTTTTTTACAACTTCAACACAACTTTCTATTTAACCTTTACAAATTATGTAAGAAAACTATAAAAAAATGTCCTTGTAATATTTATTTTTCTTTAACTCACGTTTCAATTTACAAAAAGAATTGTATTGTTAGGCTACACGGAATGAGAGTGGGGAAGAGGGTGAAAAAAGCTTCCCTCACTCTTGAACACCACTCCTTGGGTGGGGGAAACATCTCGTGGGAAAGAGGTGGGGGGAGGGAGTGCTGCACTCTCTCTCTTCATGCTATTGAATAGTTTTTTTTTTTTTTCATTTTTATTATTTATAAAATTATATATACCTATCAAAAAATATATAAAATATATATTAAAATTTATGGTTTTTAATTCCCTACAAAATGAATATAATATATTAATGAAATATATTTTTTAAAAATATAAAAAAAATAGTGAGGAAAGTTTCCCACCTATTTCTTGAGTTTTAGCTTTGGTTTCACGGTTTCACAAAATTAGAATGTCTCAAATGAACAAGAACATATATATATATATATATATATATATATATATATATATATATATATATATATATATATATATATATATATATATATATATATATATAAAAGTCCCATCTTACTCACCAACTCTCTTTAAAAGTGGAGTTGTGCCTTCCCTTCCAAATCGCCTCTTTCCTCTTCTTATTGTGTCTCTTCCTAATCCAAAATCCACTTCTCACCGCCAAAGCTTAATAAAAAATAAACTATATTGCATCTATAAACAAATTAATTGGCAGTCAAGATTTCAAATTTAACATGTAACGAGTCAACATGTGCACATAATTGAAGCTTGTCCATAACAAAACGAATTCCGAGGTAAGTAATTATCAGCCACGAGCACTATTAAATATGTTATTTCTTAAATCATCCTCGTCATTATCTTGCTAGTTTTTTTTACAATTTAATGGTTATGGATGGAATCATTTTTCAATGACACTGAATTTAAAATTCGTACAATTTGTGTGTGATCTAAGTGCCTTATGCCAAGTACCAAAACCATTAAATATCAATGCATATATATTATTATAATATTGCCATGTTGCTTAATCAGTAACGTTATAACTGTAGAACACCATTACTCTATAAACATAAAGCACACACATGGCGCAGGTTCAGCATGCACACATGACACATTCCTATACTGATTTTTTTTTTTTTTTTTTTTTTTTTTTTTTTTTTTTGAATGTGTTATTTCATTGGTTCTTGAATCATCAGTAGGCTTATAAGGTTATGGGAGTGGTGTCGTACTTCCTCGTGAAACCACAGTGAAACATAAGGCATCACTTCACCCATTACCATAAAAGTGTGGTCTCATGTCATACCCAAAGAGTGGTGGCACACTTTTGGTTTTATTTATTTATTTATTTATTTTTAATTAAATAAAAACTATATTTTTAATAAAAACCATTTATTTCATTACTTCAAAATAAAAATAACATTACATTCTATTGCCCAAATAAAAATGCTACAAACTTCAAAAAAAAAAAAAAAAAAAAAAAACACACACACACACTAGAAATTTTAAACCTACAAACTCAAAAAAACATACATTAAACGATTTAAAATAAACACACTACATGAAGTCATCCTCCGAGAACTTATCTTCCGGGTCCTCCTCCGGATCCAAATCGAGGTTAAAGTGTTGCATTCCGTAAATGTGTTTCACCAAATCCATACGAAGATTGTGAAATGTTTCATTGCAATGAACAACTGTTCTCTTTTCAATGTACTTGTTGCCCCCAATTTATATTGCTTGTGTCGTGGGAATGGTTTTCTGCTCATCATACTTACATATCGTTCTTCCTTCATTTTCAATAATCATATTATGCAATATTATACATGCATACATGACTTTATGCATTTTTTCCTTGCTGAAAGAAATTGTTGGTTTTTTCAGTATAAACCAACGTTTCTTGAGAGCTCCAAAAGTCCGCTCGACATCTTTCCTATCTCTTTCTTGAGTTTTCTTGAATTTTTTCCGACGAGTAGCATTCAGACACGAAAACGATTTAACAAAAAATGCATACTTAGGATAGATCCCATACGTTTTTTGATTTCCCAAAAATATATCTTACACTTCATACGTTTGCTCCGCAAATGTAGCAGCAACGACAAAAACATCGAAGATAACATCAAACTCTTCAGAAGAATCGGACGAAGACATTTTTTTGATTTTTTTGAAAGGTAATGTAGTAGAAAGATATAAAAAATGTGAAGGGTTGAATGATTTAAATAGATATTAAATTTTAAAAGAAAAAAAATTAAAAACTCATTTTTTTGACCGTTTGCAATGGTCAAATGAACCTACTCAATCAAATTCTTCTATGGATTGCTCCCTTTGAAAGCTGCAGGGCACCTGGAGCACCTAGGGGGCGGTGTTCTTGGCTTATGTGGCATAGGGAGTACGGTCCGGACCACACCACTCCCTCTGTTTTAAGTACCTAAGTACCTAGGAGGATATTAGAGATTCAAGCGCCGTAAGTTTTACCAACACTAATCAGGTGCAATCGATTCTAAATTTAAAAATAAACAAATAAAAAAAATAAAAGAAGTCGATAGAATTTCTAGACAATTCAAGTGAAATCACTATAGTTTTACTTTCCTTAGTGAAAATCAAAGAACGTAGAAGGAGATAAAGATGAAGCCGTTGAGGAATAAGAAGGCAATGGGCCTGAATAATGAGGCAGACACCCTCCATGTCTTAGTTTTATTATTATTATTATTATTATTATTATTATTGGTGGCTTTGTTTTTCCTTTTCTGCCCTTTTCCCTAGAGAATTGTTTAGGTGGAAAAGAAATCAATTTTTTTTTCTCTTTTCCGTATTCCCGAAATTAAACAAAGAAGAGAAATATATCAAATTCATTTTCTCTAATTCTAATTTTTTTTTATAGCAAACATGACCTAAGAGAAATGAGATAGACGAGAAGAGATTAAAAAACTAAGAGGAGCATCCTTGTGGAAGGTTATAATAGATTGGCTTATAGTCTTTAGATACATACTTTAGAAGAATCATGTTGATTCCGTGTATTCAAATTTTCGTGTCACAAAAACATGGTATAATCCAACTACATAATTTTAATAATTTAATATAAGAAATACAATAAAAGTTGGTACTTTTTACTTATTCTTAAGATCATCTCTAATCCAATTCTATTCTTTTATTAAAAAAAAATTGTGCAAAAAGTGTTTGGTTTTCGATCCTATTTTATTTTTACATCAAAATGTATATATGCTCTAGCATATTCTTTGTCAATGATACACTTCATATAATTAACTTGTCACAAATTTATACACTATATATCTTTTTTGTAGTAACAAATTTGTAAAATATATTATTACAAATTATATCCAAATAAAATTGCATATAAATAAGTAATATCAAATTACTACAAAACATATTACAAAACATATAATGACAAATCACAATTATTACATTTATAAAATACTTACTTATATTTTATAAACTATAATTAAATAAATATACTACTTAGGGGACTAAAGTTACCACTTGAAAGGTTGACATCATTATAGTATAAATTACTAGTATAATATCAAATTTGGTATTATAGTAACTACTTATTTACACCAAAATGGTGCAAGAAATGGAATATGATGGAGATGAGTTTGGTGGAAAAAAAATCGGATTTAGAGTACAGTTGAAATGTCTTAAAAATCAATTCTCCAATGTTTAATACCACTTGTCAAACGTTCCTTAGAAGAGGATCAAAAATGGCATATTGGTTTTATGTAGATCGTTAACTAGGAAGGAAATAAATCAGATGATAATCTAATTTTGAATTATAGCGGTAATCGATTAATAATAACAAACCAAATATTTTAGTTATTTCAGATTGTAGCAGAACAGGTTGAATGTTGTTTCACTATTTATGATGAATCAAATGAGGCTAGTGTGAAACTTTAATACATATATTGCGTTAAATGTCACAGGGTCTCTTTTTAGCAGGGACAGAAACAAGCTCAAACACAACAGAATGGGCAATGACTGAACTATTGCTTAATCCTGATATATTCTTAAAGTACGTGAAGAAGTATCAGCAACAATAGGAAAAGATGGAAAAATTCATGAAGCTAAAATCCTCAAATTGCCTTATTTACATGCTGTTATCAAAGAGACAATGCGGCTCCATTTATCTGTACCTTTATTAGTGCCTCACAAAACTGAAACTGAAGTTAAACTTGGTCAATATGTTGTGCCGAAAGATACACAAGTTCTTGTCAATGCATGGTCCATAGCACGAGACCCAAGGTATTGGGATAATCCGTTGAAATTCAAGCCGGAAAGGTTTTTGGGAAATGAGATCGACTACAAGGGCAAACATTTTGAGTTTATACCATTTGGATCAGGTCGAAGGATCTGTCCTGGAGCTCCCTTGGCTCATAGGGTTGTGAGTTTAATGGTGGCATCATTTGTGTATCATTTTGAATGGAAGCTTCCACACGGCAAAGAAGAAATCGACATGAATGACATTTTTGGCCTCACATTGCTTAGGGCCACACTTCTCCTTGCCACTCCTGTACCCTTTAAATAAGTTCATGCTCCTATTATATTAACTTTAGGCATTCCCGGAATAACTACAAAATAATTAAATTATTGTCAAATATAATCTATATACAACATTTCTACTTGAGTGAGATGAAATCAATTAGTTTTGTTAAGATGGTTATAGATCAAACAATAATATAAATAGAGCAGGTATAATTAATAAAACATATACTTAATATTATAATTTAAATGTTTTTCTTTGTAAGGTTTGCTTGCATTTCTATTATAAGTGATACAATTAAAGTTAACCGTATAATCTCTATTATAGTACTTACAAGAGGTGTCGTACTAGACTAAGACATGCTTGAGTATGTTATCTAATATTATTAAATCAACACGATTGTCTAAAATAATATTTACAAAGATAATATCAATTAAAATACATAATTAAAGTATAATTGTTGTGTAGGAGACACTATAGCTATGCTTTCATGTCTTCAAGGTCATTCATTAATTGTGTTTCATACAAGTTTTTTAATGGGGTTCGTCACTCGTTATCACACTTGGTAAATAAGTTCTTCAATGGGTTCATCACTAGTTATCAGGCATGTGCTTCTCATAATCCTTTATTGGCTTCATGATGAGTTGTGGGGTTCACTTCAAAAGTTAGTATCAATATTCTCCGCTCAAGGGACCAATACAACGAAGTTTTTCTCAAATGCATGTTATTAAAGCCTATGTTGAACTTGGTATCATGGGCGGTTGTCTACTAGGTGTGGATGGCGAGTAAGGGGTGGAGCATTCACTAAAACAAATATTTTTTATTAATCATATAGTCAACAACCTTTAGAAAAAGTACATCAGAATATATATATATATATATATATATATATAAACTGATGTGACATGGCTCTTTTAGATTATAGAAAAAGAAAGAAAGTTAGGTTGAAGTATAATGTAGCTTCTAACAAAGTACATGTCCAAATCAACAATTATACGAACCAAAGGTATTGTACTATTTTAGATTGGCTGTTATTCTTTCTAAATTCCTTAGAGCATTGTTGTGTAACAATTTCTTTAACATTTTTCAAAACGTGGGAACAAAATAGAACTTGGTTACCATTTAGTGAAAATATGCCACACCATATGTTCACATCAGCGCCATGTCAAGAAAAGGTAGAAAAATTCATAAAAAAAAAAAGAACAAAAACATATATAATTAAACTTACGGTGTGGCTATAGAACTCGAGGGTATTAAAAGCTTGTATGGGATTATAAGATTAGGTTGAGACTGCAACACGTGATCAAATCTGAGTTTAAAATGTCACATCATATGGTCAAATCAGCGTCATGTCAAGAAAAGGTAGAAAATTCATAAAAAATATATAAAAATATAAATAATTGAACTTATAGTTTGGATGTAGAACTCGAGGGTAATTCTAAGCTTGAATGAGATTATAAAATTAGGTGGACACTGCAACACCTATTCAAATATGAGTTTAAAAAATTGCAAACACCTTCAATGATTCTATCCAAAACAAATTTCAAATCCATATTTTTTTTTTCTTTTCCAAAACAAATTAAAGTGGAGAATTTACGAGAAATTGGTCTAGTATCGACTTCTGCGTTTGGATCAGGCAACACGAGTTTGAATTCTCTTTGAGATGCAAGGGCCTACACTTGACAAAAAAAGTAGTAGTACATACCACATAATAAGGCTTCGGTTTGGTTTATTTTTTCTTTTTCGACTGAATGAGATAGTAAATGACTATTTTACCCTTGTGTTCGTTTACACTGAAAACTCAAATGACGAAATCATACATAACATACTAAGGAAGATTCTAAGAAGAAGACATCGATAATCATACATAATGCATTCAAAACAAAAATATCACATTCATTAATGATCATACTTTCATTTCTTTCTAATATAACATTGTACGTTAATAGATCTACCCAATTTTCAAAGGTCAATAGAAAAAAGTGAAAGTGCAACATTGTGCTAGAAAAAAAGTACTTTGTTATTTCTTGTATTTAAAGAAAAACAAAGATATCACCTTAATAGTCCGACCAACAATCTCAAGCTTCGCATTCAAACTTTGTGCTGCTTTCGAATGCTCAAGTTTAGCAAACTTCAAGAAATGAGATTAAGGGTTGAATATTAATATCAATAGATGATTAAAAAACCAGCAATAAACACATAATTAAATAAATCAAATTCAAATTAATACCAACGTAAACAAACTCAAAACCTTTACAGTATCATGTCTCAGGGTCAGTGGGGAGTTGAACGAGCTTCGGTTAAGAAATACAATTTCTAGTTATTTTTAGAAAATAAAATTTTAATTGAATTAATATCTTAAAATTCTTTAAAAAAAGATTTATATCTTTAAAAAATACATAAATAATAATATTGTAAACTTCATTCATTCCATTATATAATGGAAAGGAACACCTAAGCTAAAAAATGAAAATTAAATAAACTAAATAAGAATTGTCCATTCTATTCCATCATGCAAACCAAATATATATTTTATTCCAATAAACTAAAACATTCCATTCGTTGAACAATTATATCATACTAAACACTACCCTAGAGCTGATGTTCCAATTAACAACTATGTACAACAAACATATTCGATATTTTTTTAAAAAAATGTTAAAAAAACTTAATTTATGTTGAAATCGTAACAAAATTTTGAATTTTGGATCAAATTTGTAATAAATTTTAAAATCTGGGCCAAAAGAATTATTTGTGAAAGTGGGATGATCCGTTGACCCGGTAAAATTGTCAAATTAAATACAATTCCTAATTTTTGGAACTTAATTGAATAAAAAAACATATATAGACAAAATCGATTATGAGACCAAAACATAAGGACTTTTATGGAGTTTTCCCATTTAGTAATATACAAATTGCATCAAAAAGACTACTCTAGAGTGACAACAAAGTAACCCTCAAGGATAATGTGAGTTAGGCCAGGGAAAACCCACCAACATATTAAATCTTTGTCAATATTTGTTATTCTAGGAAATCTCCCTGTTGAGAGAATTAGGTTAAAGAAGACCCTGAGTATATGAGAGAGAGGTCATGATTCATTGAGATGGTGAAACTTTTTAGATTAAATTAGATCTTGGTAGTGGATGTCAATAAACAAAGATGCATTGTGAATTGATGTAGTTAAAACTAAAACGATTATCTAATTGTCAGAATATTTTTTCTGATTCATTTTGTATACTATTAAATCAGTAAGGCATAGTTAAATCTAAAGAAATACATGGTCTAGTACCTTTATGGGGAGGAGAAAATGGAAAAAATTGTCTTATTAGGAGAGGGAACATACTCATCATTACCTATGTCCCTGTTATGGACTTGAGTTATTTCTGATACGATACTGATTTTCCTTGAATTGCCCCACGCCTTTCCATTCATATAAATGTCAATATTACATGGGTTGAATATAAAGAATAGGCCAGCTATATAAACACTAATTGGGCTATAAAAAAAATACAAGTGTGTATAAAATACGTTAACAACCCCCCCCCCCCCCTCCGGCGGTTAGAATGGGAGGTCGTGAACGGACGTTCAAACTGGATCTGAAATCAAGAAATAGAGATGATGGAATCCCTTTGGTGAAGATATCCGCATACTGTGAAGCTGAGGGAACATGAAGAACTAGAATGTGTCCCAAGGCAACTATATCCTTGACAAAGTGGATGTCAATCTCGATATGCTTTGTTTGTCGATGATGAACGTGATTAGTAGAAAGGTGTACAACACTGACATTATCACAGTAGATGTCACACCCATGAACCAGACAATGGAAACATCCGAGGGTTCGTGTGACTAAAAATTGAAATATCATCACAATGAATATACATGAAACATAACACAATCATCACCAAACATTACATCATACAACCAGTATTGTTCACATCAAATACATTGTCTTAGGTTACATATTCCAAAACATTAATTGTAATATGATTGACATTACACCAAAATAAATTCCTACACTTGAAGATTTCCCTGCTTAACGGTTATCTGAGAATATAAGTTATTTTGAAAACGGTCAACATATACAATGTTGGTGAGTTCATAAACATGTTTGAATGAAATTAAGTCTTTGTATTATTTGTAAAACTCAGAAAATACGATATTTTTTATAAAAAGTCTGAAAAATGATGTAATAGTCAAGTATAAATGCATGGGTGAATTTCATTGTAAAATATGTATAGATATGCAATCCAAAAATTCTTTGTAATCTTTCTGTTGTAAATAGAAGGTAATTGAATAATAGTATTTCCCCAGAAAATTCGATAATTTCTGATTATAAATGTGTTGTGGTCTTAAACCCTAAGACCATGTATTGATGTATGTATGATTTGTATTGACATGATTAATGTTCTCATTTCCGTAATGTTATGATGATAATGATCTCTATGTGAGTCGTTATAACCATGCTTGATAGGGACAAATTCTCATGTCTTGGCATTTTCTAAATGTCGGTTTGTTAAAGTTAAGGTTTGTTACCCTAGACTGGCCCAGTCTAACTTTGGCGAATAGCTCAGGTGTAGGGGAGTCACCCCTGTATAGATCTATACACAAACTCTCACTCTCCTTCCAGGAGACTCTGGTTATAACTATAGGCTACGATCATACACTCAGTGATGTCAACTGACATGTCTCACTAGATATTAATTGTTAATGTATAATTATTCGCATTTCACGATATAAGATGTATATGAATTTAGATTCTTACACATACCAATTAAGAATTTATAGGAATAGACAAAGCCCAACCAACATGGAAAAGGGACAACTATGGTCCATTAGGCATGTAAGTTATTTCTAGGCTTGTTAAGTATGCAAAAGGACACTTTAAGGCCCATTAAGCATATAATGAATAGTCCAGGCCCAATCAACATGCAAATGGGCTACCAAGGCCCAATAAACATGTAAAAGGTGATTTCGGCCCATTAAGCATGTAATTAGGTCACTAAGGCCTAATATACATGTAAAGAATGAATTGGGCCCAATAAACA